AAATAAAAGAGCGCAAATCGCACTGCCGGGAGGGACTTTTATTGCGCGGCATCTCGCAGTTTTCTCCAATAAAATTCAAAGGCATAAAATCTCTCTCGTCGACGGGGACACTTCCTCATTTGTACACGTACGGGACCGGCGTGGATTTTATCATTCGCTGGGGTTGTAATTAAAAATACGCCTTTGGCTCGCAGTTGCGGATTGCCGTCCGCGTTGTTTGTTGCGCGCGTTAGTTTTCACGGCGATGGGCACCGGTTTTTCTCCGCTGATCGATTTTATTGCCCAATGGAGCTTGGCAGAGCAACGAAATATACGCGCATCACCCGTTAAATTGCGCCTTTGCATGTGGTGGTACACTCGTGCCTCATCCACTTGTTTTGTGGCTTCCGTGGGTTATATTCATAAACTCATCGGCGCATAAACGTATCGTCCGTGCTATGGACCGACGTCCAAATGACGGGGAATGAAATTTTATTTCGCAAAGGTAACGACCGAAAGCATGTAACACGTGGATTTTTCGAGCGCCAGTGATGCCCCAGAAGACTCACTCTGGGCGTTGGTAATTATACAAGTCTCGAGAGAGTAGGTATATAATAAAATAATAACGAAGGGACGATAATTTCCCCCTGGCCTGCGTATGCAAAGAGCACCGAGTCCATGTACACCCTATAGGCAGCGTTCCGTGATATTATTCGCCTAATGTAGCGTGTATTGTACTATACTTTGGTACCTTCACCTTTTTTTTTTTTTTTTTTGTTCCCTCCTCTTTTCGAGTGAGCTGCAGCAGTTGTGGAAACCACGTTTTGAGCTCATTTTTTACGACGTGACCGAAACTGCTAGTATATACCACGAAGGAAGAGAATAAAAAAAAAAGAGAAAAGCAAGAACGCCCTTTGCGGTGGCTGGAACTTTATTTTCGCGATTTGTTCAAACATCGTGTTTCTCGACTTTTTCTCTCCCCCCCCCCCCTTTTTTTTTCTTTTTCAAACTCTGTGATTTACACGTGGAAACGCGCGTTATCTTGAGCTCAAGTTACTGGAAGGAAAAAATTCTCTCTGTATACATGAACGTTTTTTTTTTTTTTTTTTTACCCACGTGAGAATGCATTTTATTTCAACTCGAGGGTAAAACTAAATTACACGAGCAGTACTTATTACATAATAGTAAAATCTTGAAAAACAAAAAAGTCGAATGAAAACGTACGATACTCAGCGGTAAAAATTAAATAGCATAAAGTTTAAAATTAGAAAAATTTGTTTGAGCTTTGTGAACGAAAAAACGCACACAAGGACCCGAGTTGATTTAAGGAAAAGAATTTAATTTCAAGCCGTATGAAAAAAGGGTTGGGACGGTATAGAAGCCGAGAAAAATATCAAATTGGAGGAAAAAATGCAACGAATGACTTTTGTGGACGGGGTATTTATCACGAAAGCCTGAAATGGCGAGGAGGAGACCACACGCGAAACCCAAGCTCGGATATCAAATTTCACGCCCAACGAGAGGAGAAAAAAAAAGCTACAGACTCCGGAAAACGATCGCACGATCAAAAGCGCACAAGGTCGAGATATGCTACGTAAAAAAAGATTAGCGCGTATATCGTATTTTTGCACCGGCGGAGTGTATAGGTAAAGGCGCAATGTTTGCACCACCTGTCCCATCAAGGCGTGATTTATAACCCGGCAATAAGAATCGCTAATCGGAAGGGCTTCCATACGCTTCTCGCTCGAGCTGCACACGAGACTCGCGGTATATACGTTTGCGATAATGCACGAAGCACGTATAATACCTACAATAGATACATATATACAACACTTTGCCTGACGGGGAGTACTCGAGCATCAGAGTTACTATAAGTATACTACGTATGTGTGTACAGTTGCACGCGACATCTTCGTTAAAGGTATACGATGAGTAACGATTTAACGGTTCGGATCGGTATATACCGTTCTCCTCCCGTTGATCGTTTCTATCTCGGTTTAACTCTCTCCGATGTTGCACATGTACCTGGTACGTAGTCACCGATATACAGCTATACATGCACGAAAAATCCACTGTCGCTACCACACATATACCTTGTATATACGCGGACGAGGGGAGGCGCGTTACAGTTTTCGCTCAAAATAATGGTCTTACTTATACATGATATGCACGATAGGTGTACACCTGACTGCGAAACCTGTGATTTTGAGCTTCTTGATACTCGTTGACTTGTACATATACTACAGGGACGCTCTAAAAAAGGAAGAAAAAAAATCCTGTGTTCTTTGAGTCTCATTACATACCGATTACGAACGGCCGATCGTTAAATTTCAACTGACCGCGTTGCTTTGGAAACTTCCGATTTGCTTACACCTACGTGTATTTGCATGCCTATGCAGCGAAATGTGCTACTTGCAACAAACAAAGTGCTGGAGCACTTCATGCTTTCGGGACATGATTCTTCCGTAGGTGCACACGGAGCAAAGTTTCGCTTCAACTTTTTATTCATCGGATTGTTGTTTATACCAATGTGCCGTGTAAAAAACGAAAACAATATGTGTACCTGCATGTACAGGGTTAACGACAAGAGTCCAATTACATGCCACTTTGTCCAACAGACACGCGACAATAAAAACGATGCCCCCGTCACGTTGCAGCTGCTACGTCGCAACGACATGGATCCGCGTTTACAACTGGAAAGCTCTGCTCGTGATGTGAAACTTGGGACAGAAGATAGAGAAAATTACGCTTAGAGGTAGTTTTTAATGCGGATGCAACGAGGTAATATGGAGCACCTGTACCGTGGTTTTTACGCTCGTACTCAACTTTTGACGGCGCGCGTAAGTAGCTGGAAAAAATTGTCCAAGTTGAATGACGTGGACGGCTCGCTGTGAAGAATCGCTGTGTCAGAAAACTTGGTTTGCTTTCTTTGTTTCTCTTCAAATGTTGCAGCGTCACGACTACTACTGTTGCGTTATGGGTAATAACGTCATTCTCCGTGCTTCCAGAATTGAAAAAAAATAATAATAATGATAAAACGATTCTTTACTGATACACATGCATCTTTACTTCTGTCACCCTTAGCTTCACCCAAGCCACGTCCGTGACACATAACACACGTATTCTACAAATCAAATGCACTTGGCATTATTTGCACGACTCACCGTGTGCATGTTAATTGCCGAAATCTTTGAAAAATCATTATGAGCATAAGGCAGTGAAATTGTAAAGTCACGAGCCCGTATTATAAGTATATACGGTACGTACTTTACTTACACGGCGGCTTTTCTTCACTTCGCGACTATGTACACAATGTACTTTGATGCTCTATGCCGTGTGCCGTTTCAGCTAACCGTTATAAATCTTCGCACGGCAGGACGATGGATGCAGTGTTATAGTGTACGCGTGTCTAAGTATACTCTACACCCGGCAAAAGACCGCAATTGCGTATATATAAGGTATACATGGCAAAGACGTGAGTGTTTTACGCGCAATGGTGTACCAAAAGGATAACCATCGACAAGCCTGGATGCTTGACTTTTCTTTCAAGCTTTTTTTTTTTTTTTTTTTTTTTTTTTTTTTTTTTTTTTTTTCATTTCAGTTCTCGAGAAAAGTATTTGTCCAATGATTTACGTTTGACACTTTTTCTTTTCTAAATATCGAACGGTGAATTTTGACAAAAGCGCTATTAGTGGTATAGTGATGGTCGAAAAATTAAATTCAATGAAAAAAAAAAAAAAAAAAAAAAGCTCAACTATATTTGATTTAACGTACTTATCTGTATTCTCGAAGGAAACTGTACCAACCAATGCAAGATTATATAAGATACTTGTCTTGTACGAATCTTGGAACTTTTAAGATTTCTGCAAAATATCTTTTTAACTCGCAAATTTGCAATATTTAAGATTTTAATAATTCCGTACATTAAACACTGGGTACTACCGTAAAGCATAAAATACTAATAATGACACAACAATAATAAAATTATCACGTTAAAAACTAATAAAAAAAAATCTTTCCGCCCTATTATGTGTGCTTACGGTTCTCAATTCTTATGACACAATTAAAGAATTTAAATCATGCATGAGGTGGAAAATTTTATAAGTTGCGAGAGTAGGCTCCCCGACAATGAGCGCCTTCCATCTTCCTATCCTTTTCCATTGTGGTGAACATTTGAAGCTCCCAGAGTGGACATTAAGACTGAAAAGAGGCTTTTTAATTTTTTTTTTCAAATTTTATTTGTATTATAATTTAATATTCTAAGGTGGCTGCAGGACGAATATTGACTTAATTGAACATATAGGAATTAAGAAATGACGTGTCTGAGATGTCATTTACCAGAGATAAAGTTTAACATTAACAAAAAAATTCCCTTTTAAAAATAAAAAATTCTGAAATACGGTAATGCAGTTTATTAACTGCTATATATGCGATTGTGCCAGTGCCAGTTAAAGATCTGTATAAGCTATTTTTATTACAAGTTAAAAAAGTATTTTCTATTGCCGAAATGTAATAGACATGTAGGACAACTAAACGAAGCAAATAGTTTAATGAAACTAGGAAAATGCCACTGTAAAGCATAAATGGCTTTCAGGAAAAAAATTTTGCTGCTTATTAAAGATACAAATTAACTTTAATCATTTGTAAGAAAGTTTTTCTGTACCCTGATTGAGTGACTATTTAAAGAATAATTTATGATTTTTTTGTAAGAACAACAATTAACTGTTATACATCAAACTCCTTTATTAAATATTATTATATTACAATTTTTGAACTATTTGACAATTTTTATTCTTTTAATATTTAGCAAGTGAGTATAGTACCGTTTCTTTGCTCATGAATGTAGCAAACTGTACTGATTTCAGATGGATTCAAAAAATTGTTTCAATTTTTACTACTGACTGATTGCATAAATTTAAACTAATATTGCTTTATGGCAATTATTTTGTAATCAAAACAGTATGAAATTCAAGAAAGTTAAAATAAATGAAAAATTATACTTAAATGTAATAAAACGAGGAACAGAAAATATTTTTATTTCTTATTTATTGGATTCAGACAACATTACAACCTGTTAAAAGAATTTTTCAGACTCATCCACTTAAAAAACAAACTATTTCATTATTTTACATCAATCATTTAATTCTAACACTCATTGAAATCAATTTTATTTCGCACCTTGTAAAGAAATTCAAATACTCACATGCACACTTTTAATCTTAAAACAGCTTTTAGTAATAATTTTTGAGAAAAAAATGGCGTATTGCTTCGCCTTTTCCTCCAGTGGCTATGCGTTGAAAATAACTAAAGATCATCGTCGTCCTCGGGAAGTGCCGTTTCCTGGGCTTCTTTGAGATCTTTTTCGATCTGTTGCTGCCATTGTGGGTCCATCGTAACTTCTGGTGGTAGAAGAGCTGGCATGGCAACGAATTCGAGATTGGCGTCTCCGATCAGCTTACGTGCAAGCCAAAGGAATGGCTTTTCAAAGTTGTAGTTACTTTTGGCACTGATGTCGTAATACTATGAAAAATCAAAAACCGTGCATGATTAGAACAAATAATGTACACAAATAAAAAAGCTTTGTTGGACATTATGTCCATCAGATTAGAGGGGCAGATAACGTCATCAAAGAAGTAAGATTTTTTATTGCAACATCATTAAAATAAGGGAAAACGTAATTATGCAATATTGCAAAGTATCACCAGTAACGGGCAAGATAGTAACCAACCTGGAGATTTTTCTTCCGATGAAACACAATGCTCTTGGCCTTGACTTTTCTATCTTTGATATCAACCTTGTTGCCACAAAGTACGATGGGAATGTTCTCGCAGACTCTGACCAAATCTCTGTGCCAGTTGGGTACATTTTTGTAGGTAACCCTGGACGTGACGTCGAACATGATGATGGCACACTGGCCCTGGATGTAGTAACCGTCACGGAGCCCGCCAAACTTCTCCTGGCCGGCGGTGTCCCATACATTAAACCTTATTGGGCCACGATTCGTGTGGAAAACCAGAGGGTGCACCTCGACACCAAGGGTGGCGACGTATTTCTTCTCAAACTCGCCGGTCAAGTGGCGCTTGACGAAGGTCGTCTTACCAGTACCTCCGTCGCCGACGAGCACGCACTTGAAGGTTGGCACTTGTTTGTCATCCATACTGTCTGTCGCTTTTGCCTCGAACTATGAGCCTTTGGTAACGAAAAATCTGCAAGTTAAAACGAAGGAGCGTTAATGCAGGTTTCTATTCCCTTGCATCTTAGAGGTTAGCGTACAAGCTACTGCTGGTGTGAGTATTTAGCTAGGTATATAATAGAGCGCCATGGAAGCTCGCGGATCGACCGGTCGAAGGAAGCCGCGCACGAGGTCCGAAAATGCGCCCCGGGGGGTAAAACAAGCTACGGAAATAACGAAGATGCACATCCTTGCCACGAGACAGGCCTCGGGTCAAGTCCGTCTTACCAGAAAGTGTATATCTATGTATGCGATTGCTCAGAAGAGATATGTATAACGGCGGGGCTGACTAAACCCGAAGCCTGAGTCGCAACACGAGTATTTTCTCCCGCGGGCACCTTGAGATCACGAGCCAGCGGCATGATTACAACTTCTAAGGAAAGCTAACCTCCGTCCTCGGCACTGGAAAAGAACTCCCTGGATGTACGAGGCTAGGATACGTTGGAGTTTGGCAAGGGATGATAAACACAGGAAACTGTTGGTATTGCGGAGACAACGTCGACGGTAGACGATGAGGAGGTGTGACGAAGAGTAGTAGCACTAGAAAACTGCGCGCAGTACGTACAACCGAAAGGCGCGGTTGATGGTTAAGGATGACTCTGGAAGAATAACTGCGAAGCAGACCTATTTCGAGGTGCGAAGGTTGTTATTTACGCGGTGAAAAAGGGCCTAATGAAGGGTCTGTCGCTCAACTTACTTGGCCGGTTAGGGCTGGTGAGAGAGAAATTTCGCGGGAAGCGGCGTGGCGCACGTGAAAATGGACGTAGCGAGACACAGCCCGGCACAGTCTTTTAGGCTCACAATGGCGAATCTCTGTGGCCCTGCTGCTGCGATACTGGCGGCGCGGCGCGGCCTATTTTGCCCTCTACCTTTGAAATTGAATTTTACTCTTTTTTACGGTTTTACCCGTGCGTTCGACAAGACTCTTTTGCGGATGTTTTTTTGCGTATGCGATAAAGTGTACTTATGTATTTTTTCGGCAAACTATTATATTTTACCTTAATATCGCGACTGTGGAGTAAATTAAGGAATCTTCGAATGGTCGGATCAACGACAATTACAATTGAACTAATCGAAATCGAGAGAAGAAACTCACCAGCGACATCTAGCGCGGACTGTATAAACAGTTGAGGGCATTTTTATGCCGACGGAAGTCCTGTCGGTCAGGATGCAAATCTGTACGATCGACGCTTGGCAGAACAATTAAGCCGCATACGCAAAAACGAAGGATTGAAGATCCACCTTAATTTGTGTTCCTCAGTTTGGCGGTAAATTTGTTTTGTGGGAAAAATTAAAATGTTTAATGTTGCAAAAACATCATCATTGAGTACTTGCAGGTACTTTTTACACAATGTAAAATTTAAACGAAAAAAAAATAAGCTTTTCATCAAAAATACTTAATAACAAATCCGAGATTGACGAAAACACACCGAAAAGTAGGGGGAAAAAAAAAGACCCCCGAGAGTAAGAAAGGACTCAAGCCACTAGGGGTCCTTAAACTCCTTGGGCACCAGGGCTACGACGATGATGTCGAGGTTGTGGGGGTTGACGTCATCCCAATATCCCAGCTCCCCAGCTGGTGAGCAGCGCATGCGTGGGCCGGCTGCTGGTAGTACATGCAGCGGAGAGAGCGAACTAGATATATAGAGGACGGCAGCAAGCCCGGGCGCGAGGTCCAAGAGAGACGGTGAACCGTGTATAAGCAGACGATGGGAGTAGGTGCCAAAGGATAGGTCTCTGTCGTCTGTAACTCGTACATATACATACACATATATATATACATATATACCTGTGTATATATATATATCTTTAAAGCGGAGAGAGCCGCGTATCGATTTTTACGATCGTGTGTGTCACACTGGGTGTGAGAGTGCGTGCTGTGTGCGCGTCGTCGTCGCCGTCGTTTACGTTGTCCGGCCTCCTCGTTATCTCCGGGAGATATAAAACCAGAGGACACGGACGTTTTGCTATTTAGTTGTTGCATATTACACACGAACGACAGTCGACTGGTGTTTCCTCGCGCGCGCGCGCAACTCACAAGTGTGTCAGTGTATACCTCTCTGTGCAATATACGTGCTGTTTGTGTGTGATAAGTATTGGTCGTGTGTCTCTGTTCTTTGCTCCGCTGCTGGCTGATATAGCGCTGCTCCTCCTCATCGCCGTCGTCGCCGTCGGCCTGTGCTGAAAAAAAAAAAAAAAAAAAAAAAAAAAAAAAAAAAGAAAGGGTGAGGAAAGTGCAGCGGTGCGCCCACACATAGAGCCGTCGTTGTTTCTGCATGGAGGGCCCCGCAGCTGCCGACGGACGGTGAATGGGACTGGCCCTCAGCGGCGGCAGCAGCAGCGCTGACCTCCTCTTCGCCCAGGCAGGGGAGCACCAGCAGCAGAGTCAGTAAGAGCTTCGTCACCCTCGCGCCGCCCTCGCACCAACACTCACAATGACGAAGGACAGATTGGCGGCCCTCGTCGCGGTAAGTCCTGGACTCCTTTTCTTATTTGTTTGGTTTGCCTCCTTGTATACATGCAGACGCGGAAACCAATCGAGCTTGGCCTCAAAATATCGTCTGCTCCCGTCAGCGCATCACCTCCCTTTTCATTCCCGATGCTCGTATACTTATATACTCACGTTTTCCTGTTTTCCGAAACGTAATCTACATCGGAAAATGTGTCAGCCCGTGGTGGCAAGCTGAGCATTTTCTGGCGCACGTTTCTCCCCCACTGACCAACTTACGGCAGGTGGATTGTGTACACCTATCGAATGTATTCCGCAAGGAGGGTGAGATGGCAGTAGATGCAGCAGAGTATCGACTGTCAAAATTGTCACGGGCCATAACATTACAGAGAACATCGGACAAACGAATAATACAAGTAGCACGGGTCAAGGAATTCCGTCCTGTCGCAACGAAATTCACGACTGCTCCAAAATGTGCGGGCGAAATATATGCGTTGCATGAATAAGTTTTCGGAGCACCATGCGAGGGGGAGGAAGTATATATGTATAAACATATGTATTGTGTGTGAGTATATTGTTATAGAAGAGTATGGTGAGTGCGTGCAGGATAAATCTCGTGATGTCGGCCGGCAGTGGTGCATGACGGCAGCTCCCTTCGAGCCTCGGGATTTTCTGTACAAGCTTATATATTATCCTCCAGATGCCCCCCCCCCACGTTACATAACCGAGAAACCGAGGCCATTCGGTATGGCTGCTGAGCAACTGCACGAACCTGCACTCTTTTCGCATTTGTCTTTATCCCATAGTGAGTGCACTTGGTTTCACAGCATCACCAAGTCACGTTGTTTTGAAAGCCGATCGTGCAATGCTGCTGCTGGTGCTCTTACTTACCCTCCACCCTCCACTATGCACACACGATCGTTCCATTCTGATGTGTGTTTTTCCCTTCCTTTCTCGCTCGCGGCACTCACTCGCGCAGCTCTCTCTCTCTCTCTTTCCCTCCCTCGTCGTCTGCTGCGGGTAACCGCCCTTGGCTCTTCTCTCCGTCTCTTTCTTTCGTTCTCGGGTACACTCGCACCCTTTCCCGGGGGCTATAACGCCGCGGGTCCTTTTACCTCCCTTTGACGTTTCTTTTTTCGTTCTCCCATTTTTTGTTTCCATCCACCTCTTGTCTCGTGCCGGGGTAGACTTGTCCGCGGAGTTGAAGGACGGGGGAAATGTGCAACGGGTCGAGCTCCAGTTCTGCGCTGTTTTCCAAAAAAATTGGGACACAAGCTCGAGTGTTTGCGTATAACGTGTGTGTGTATATATATATATATATACATACACGTATGCGGTGGTGCGCTACTCGTTAATTTTCTCTCTCGCGTTTTGGCGGTCAAATAATGGAGAGTGCTGCACTCGATGTTTTGGGGAGAAAAAAAGGAAAAATTTTTTTTCTTTCATTCGCTGCAGGTCGCTTCCAATTAAAAAATTAGATTTAATTGAAAGTTCTCTTAGAACCGGATTTTCAGTTAAAACTGTTTGATGCACGGGGTTTTCAAGCGTGAGTGAATGCGTCATAGAATCCTCGCTCTTTTTTATTTTATTTTTTTTTTTTTCTATAAAAAAAGGATGAATAATCGAACTGAGCAAAGCAATAATTTTTATCACGTGAGTACGACTCCATGTAACTCGTGTTTTATCTACTGGTTGCTGCTGCCATTGGCACTATCTCCCCTTTTATATGATGCTGGATGATGCAAATATCTAACTCCAATTTGACCTCTTGGGCCTACGCCTTTTTATCAATTTTTTTCGTGTGAAAGCTTCGTTGTCGTTACTGTTTTTGAACGTTAATAATTAAATATGAAAGCAGTGTTTTTTTTTGTTTTTTTTTTTCAAATCCAGTAACACTTCGTAAAGTATGTAAATAACTCTGTGTTTTTCACAAATTCTTCAAAGGCGAAAGAAAAAAATTTTTGTTTGAAAGGTATTCACTAACGAGCAGTGATTTTGTGTCATTAAATGCTAATTAATTATTGGATAGATAATTTTTTTTTTCCATGTGCCGAACTGAAAAAAAAATCTTAAGTGTCATCTGTGATCATCTTTGAAATATTCTCATTAATTAAGCACAATATGTTGAAACAAATATAAGTCACTTGTTACTCGCAGGAGAGTTTTACAGAAAGAGGATTCATTTACATTAATTCGAGTGTTATAATCAAACAAATATAAAAAGAAAAAAATACAGAGGAAAATTATAAAGATTAATACACGAAGACTTAGAGCTACAATAAACATTCAGTGTAAAATCCTCGTTGAACACCTCTTCAAATAAATTTCTATTATCATTGTATACTCACTCATCAACGATTACTCGTTAATAGACAAACTCATTCTTAAACAGCTGGTGATTGAATATCGTTGGATTAAACCATCGTAATTACATCGTATGGATCATGTATCATCATCGTGTCGAATTAAGATATACCCTACCGCCATATAAATAAAGCATTACGTTAGTTAATACAAAGTTCAACTAGAGGGTAGTGAAAAAAAAAAAAAAAAAAAAATGGTCCATCTCACTTGCAAAGCCGTTGTAGGTACATTATAAATATGCAGAGCAGGTGATGTTCGCCGACGTCGACGCTATATATCTTTGTACCCTTTCTGGCATAAAACGTATACTCGTCCATGACACCTCGATCCTCGTCAGCTGTTTCGCTCTGTATGAATTTTATACTATTGCAGTTTAATTTTTCTTCGCACCGTATTAAGTATTACAGCAGTGGGTTTCTTCGTTTAGTTTTACCTCGAGCTTAGCTTGTATGTTATCATCGGTGCTGTCATCATCACGAGTGTACGTTCTGTCTATATATATATATATATACACATGAGTGGTGCGTCTAGGTCAGTTGTTGCGATTACTCATTCGTCGAGTTGATTATATATAGACGTTGCTCGCGCGCGTGTCCTCGTGGTTTGAATTTTTTGTGGATACCTCTCTGATTTGCTTTCGGCTTCCGAGGGTTTTTTTTACTCGTTGAAAGGACGCGTGTTTCAGCTGTGTGGGAACATGCTCATTAAAAGAGCGTTAAATTCACGTGCACCGAGCACTTGACGCTGAAGTAATGAATGTGACACGATTAATGCTCGTTTGGAAAACAGTGGCAGTATATTTCTCGTGTGTGCATGAAGGGCCAGAAATGTCAACGACTTACTCTCTCGCACATTTTCAGGATTCCCGTTTGTACAGTGTACACAATATGTTATGTAAATTGGAGTTTAAAGGAGAAAGAAACGAGGTCGGAAAAGCTCGGTGAAAATTTGTGTCACGTCAGTCCCGGAGAAATTTCTCATTTGATTTACCTTCAACTGCTTTGAATTAAGCTCATCTAATTACTCGATGTGCGCGGGTGCGCGCGAAAATACGGAATATAATATATATATACACGTGTATGTGTACCTGGTCGGGGCTACAAACAGCGAGAGCTCGTCCAGTGCTCGGTTAATTGTGCGGAGCTTTTTGCACTTTGCAAAAAACCGGAGTTTAGGAATCAATCGTGAAGTAGGTTTTTCGATTATTTTTTTTTTTTTTTTTTTCAATTTATTTTACCGTCATCTTTACGTTTGGCTGAGTTATCTATTCTTCGTATGATTGAGTAAAAAATAACAATTTGGTCATGCGAGTTGAATTTTTACTTTTTTCAAGTAGAGGCTCTTGAATAATGACATTTAATTCAAACGCAAAATTTCAGAGAGCAATAAATTAAAAACCAGCCCTTACTTTAACGACGATGAGGAAAGAAGATGACGATTAACTTATTTGCACGTCCAATTAAATTTCTCGTGCGAAAGTAGTGTTCCTTTACTCGACGCAATAAAAATAACCCGCCGTGTCTTCTATCTACAGCTTTGGCTGATGTTAAAAAAAAGTACGGGAGGAAGGTTGCGTCCCGCGTGTACTTCGGTATTGCGTTGATACAACAGTCAACGCGTGATACATCCATAAAAGCGGCTGAGGACGAGGACAAATTGTCGTTTGAAAAGTGTAGGAGAGGAAAAAAAATAGATGTAAATTTTTTTTGTTACGTATGTGTGTGTGGCACAAGTCTCGAATGGTGTACACATGATGTCTACGATGTGTATTGCACGGCGTTAAATAATATTCGGCAAATAATCGCGGAAAACGAGTATACATGTATTGTACAAAAGAACACGCGGATCACAATAATACAATGCACGTACCGGTGATGAAAATATCTGCTCGTTTTTTTTTTTTTTTTTATCTTTGTGGCGCTTTTTATACTTCTGACTCATTCAGTGTGCTAAGCAGATATTTTTTTGTTAACTTTTTTATTATGTACGAAATTTGTGTACCATCGCTGATTTATTTTTCTGCGGTCTATCTCTTTTCGATGCTTTTTAGTTGATGGGAGACTTAAAAAAATATTTTCGAGTTCTCGAAAAACAACCATGTTCATATGTTGTTCTCGTATTCTGTTTTGACTAACTTACGTTATCATGAAAAAAAAAACCTGGCCTTGTGTCTCAAATTTTTATTTTTCTTTAATAGTACAGCACGAGTATAAAAATATCAACGATTAATTAAATAAAAATAAAACGTAAATAATTTTTAATTTCGGCAAATGCGACGCAAAAGTGTACGGCTTTGAAACAGATGTTGATTTTGAACGATTTAAGTACACACAAAAAACTCAAAAAAATGTTTCTGCTTGCCTACACAAAATTTAGAGTAACATTTTTAAACATTTTCGTTTATCAAAATTTAAAAATATTTCATAATAGTCGTTTGTTTTCAGAATTTCAATAAATTTTGTACTCACCACAATGATAATTGTATCACACTATTCAGAAAACAATATTTTCGCTAATAAAACAAGTTGGCTTGAACTAAACAACTTATATACCATAAATAAACAAATTTAATTAATTGCATGTTTGCTCATCGCCTCCTGTTAAGTATCATATCGCCGAGCCAATAAATTGTAATCTCGATCGGAAATTATGTCT